GATCATGGCGAGCGAAGAAATGGAGTCGGAGGAGGGACCTCAAGCTGATCATCATGAACCACTACCAGTTCGTGATCTAGGAGAAGATGGACTACCGGAAGAAGACCCTCATGCTGAACGACCTCTACCTCTTGAACGACCAGGTAGCATTGAAAGCCTTGTTCGGAGAGCGCACTGCGGACTAGGACAGCCAGGAAACCAAAAACTAGCAAACATCCTGAAGACCGCCAAGGCCTCCACGGAAGCCGTCAACATCGCCAAGAATCTTGTGTGCCCGACTTGCATCAGACACAAAAGAGTCGATGGGGCACGACAGGCCGCTCCTCCTAGACAGTTGAAACCAAACCAGGTGGTGGGAGTGGACACCGTATGGCTACCGGGAGTTGAACCTGGCGGCAAACTCAAGATGGCCCTCAACTGCGTTTGCTGGGCTACTCGATTTCAGTTGATGATCCCTGTAAAGGACCACACACCTCAAGGAGCAGTTCGGGCATTTCACCAGTGGCTCAGAGTTTTTGGACCACCAGAGGCCATCTATTGTGACCTTGGAAAAGAGTTCAAAGGACACTTCGAGCTCATGGCGGACCAGAACGACATCTACCTGGACCCAGGATCTTTTAGAGATGCCAACTCAAAGAGCCATCACGGAACGAGCTGGTAGAAGCTTTAAAGAAGTCCTCTCAAAAACGCTAATGGAAGCAGGTTGCTCATCTTGGGACGAGTGGCACCTCATCGTGGACGAGGTCAACGCTACCATGAACCGCCTGTCCAACACATCCGGCTTCAGCCCCATTCAACGGATGCTTGGTTACAGTCCCAGACTTCCAGGAGGCATCTTTCAAGGAGGTGAAGGTAGCATTGGAGTGATGTCCCGTTACCACGCAGGTGATGCACAAGTTCAACGATCCACAGACATTCGAACCCAAGCCGCTGTTGCATTCCATCAAGTCGAGTGCGAACAAGCCTTGAAACACTCGGTCTATGCAGGCCCCAAACGGTTCTATGACTATGAGGTGGGTCAAACGGTCTACTTCTGGAGAAAGGGAATGGAACGACAGAAGAAGGACTCTCCAGCCTTTTGGCATGGGCCTGGCAAGGTCATCCTCACGGACCTCCCGAACACAATATGGGTCAGCTAGCTCCCGAACACCTTCGTCCCATAACCAATGACGAAAAGTTCCAGTTCATGGACTTCTTGACCGACATTGTCAATACCCAGAAGGAGATCCAGAACCACAAGATTAGAAACTATATCATCCTCGACGAGAAGCCCCCCGGCCATCGAGAATGCACCCTTACCAGAACAAGAAGAAGATCGTGATCGACCTGACGGAGAGGAACCACCACCACCAAAGAAACCTCGATACCGAATTGAAGGAAAAACAGCAGAGACCGAGGTCGAGTTCAAACCGGAAGAAAGGGAAACAGCCTTGGAGGGGAGACCTCGACCATCCGGAACCTATGTCTATGTCGCCCAGGATGGATGACTACACACCTACCAAACCAGGTGACCAAGATCCCCACGAAGAGCGTGAGAGAAGGATGATTGAAGATGAGGACAACCACAAGCCCCCGGAGAGACCCACGTCACCATGGTCTACTCCAGTGATCCGCGAGAGAGTGGAGGACCCTGAACCACCAGTCAAACGAATCAGGACAGAAGCTCTGGAACTACTGTATCAAGAACTCGTCCGGCTTCGACCACAAAAGGGCAAGGAGATTGTACTCAACAAGCTCCCCGCCAAGAAGAAAGAGAAATTTCTCAAGGCCATCCTCAAGGAGGTGAACAACAACCTGAGCTCAGGTGCCTACGAGGTCCTCGATCGGGGTGAATCTGAACATATCAGGAGAACCAAAGCGGAGAAGATCATGAGGTCCCGCTACGTCCTCACGGAGAAGGGAGTCGAGGTGGAGGAAGTCGAGAAGCTCCAACAAGACGGCCTACTCATTGAGGACAATGATCCATCTCTAAGGCCAGACACGTCATGAAAGGCTTCTCGGAACAAGGTGCCGAAGACCTTGCCTCGACGACCCCTCAGGTCGCAAAAGAAACTGTTTTCTTCACCTTACAAGTGATATCCAGTATGAGATGGGAACTCGGACACCTGGACTTCACCCAAGCATTTCATGCTGAAAATCTGATAGCTCGGGAACTTTATGCTGAACTCCCTCCTGAAGGACTTCCAGGATATCACCCACGGCAACTCCTACGCTTGAAGAAAACTTGCTATGGACTCGCCGATGGCCCTTACGCCTGGTACCAACACATCACCAGGGTTCTCCAGGAGTTGGGGTATGAGAAGAGCCGAGCCGACCCATGTCTTTTCTACCTCCGATGCCGCCAAACCAGAAACACGGTCGGCATCATCGCTCTCGCCACTGACAACATGGTCCATGGAGGTGGAGCACAACATTGGAAGAACATGAAGTGGCTCCAACAGAACTACAAGATGGGCAAGTTCACCACGGGAGAAGGGAAATTCACTGGCAAGGAACTAACTCCTGAAGCCAACGGGTCCATTCGAGTTACCCAAAAGAACTACATCGAGAACTACATCAAGAAGATCCCTCTCAGTCGTGAACGTGGAGCTCAAAAATACTCTCGATGCTCGGAAGAAGAAATCGGACAGCTTCGGCAGCTCATTGGAGGCCTGAGTTGGGTGGCCAAAGAATGTCGACCAGACATTGCTGGACGAGTCTCACTTCTTCAGCAAACTATGCCTCACCCGATGATCCGAGACATTGTAGAAGGAAATAGCATCGCAAAAGACCTCCGAAAAACCTCTGACTTGGGATTAAGAATCCAACCAATACCACTCTCCAAGCTCAGGATTGGAGTAGCTACCGATGCTTCTTGGGCCAACGCCGGTCCCAATGCCGACTGTGACAACACCAAGGACTACTGGACGGAAACACCCACAACCTGGGTCCGACACCATGTCGCACCACGTCGCTTAACCTTCCATCCCGGTTCAGTGATTGATCCAAGTGGCCCAGATCTGCACCAGATCACTAGAGACCGGAGAACACAAGCTGGAAGCCAGATCGAGCATGACAGGTGGGATGGGACAGATGGTTTCAAAGACCTAGGTGCCCAATGGACAGGTACCACCACCTTCTTCAAGTCCAAGGACAAGAAGGTCACGAACCAACCCCTGTCTGAACGATTCCTCCAACTGGCTAAGAAACACAGTCAAGGAGGATACCTCCTTTTCTACTACCACCAGGATAGAGAAACCTCTGACCACAAGCAGGACATCACGATTGCTGGTTGGAAGAGCTATAAGCTCAAACGCTGCACAGTGAACACCCTGTCGGCAGAGTGCCAATCGATGCTTCAGGGCATCGGCAACCTCCACTGGCATCGCTTCTTGCTGGCCGAGCTGTTCGATGTCAATCTTCAGATTGATAAATGGGAGTCACAGCTGGCCAGCTTTCCTTTTGTTGCAGCCACAGACTCAAAGTCCCTCTACGACACGATGACCAAGTGTCGCAACACCTCAGCCCACATAGATGACAAGCGCACTGGCATCGACCTCACCATCCTCAAGAGTGACTTGGCACAGTCATCGGGTCAGGTGAGGTGGGTCGGAGGAGGAAACATGATTTCGGACCCTTTAACTAAAAAGATGACGCCGTCGTTTTTGAGAAGGGTCATGGAGATTGGCCAATGGTCGCTGAAAGAACAGGGCCATACGGAGATTTCATCCAATAGAGAGTAGCTGCGATGTGAATAGCATGTCGCTTTGGGTGAAATCACGATTCCGAAATGTTTAACTCTCGAGGTGGCCCGACGCGGCCCTATGTGCATGGGACAATGCACATGTGAAAAGGTCTTGCTGCCCACAGTTTCATTCATGAATGCGATGTAGTGCTGGAGATCTGTGGCTACATTATGGGAAACAATATGAAACAGTGATGTCCAAAGCGCGTTGTGTTTTACCAAGCAAGGCTGATTGCCGACAAAGGTACAAACCCGTGATTCCAAGGAGCTTCTGTTCAGTTTCATCTTTAGGCTTGAAAGACCGTGAAGCTTTCATTGGAAGGACCTGGGAAAGCATAGGTGATGGAAATGAGAGAAGGCACGTTGCAACAAATTGGGTGACAGTTGTTTGGCCACTATTGACTCTTCCTTTAATGGGCTTGTTGACAGGGGATGATTGTGCAGATTCCAATCGCTTTGCTGGCCGTCTCTCTAAGTTTCCTGCGCTTGCTTTTGGAGGCCCTTTGATGCGCCCGGTTTTCTTTTTGCTGCAAGTAACTGCGGTCGAGACAACGACCATGAGTCACTAGCTCGTGCCTGCTTATCCAGTCAGTGCACTGCGGATTTATCGTTCGTTTTTTGGTGGACGCGGTCGTTTGTTCTTTTATAGGTACTTGTTGTGCGCGGAGCCGCAACTGGAGCTCCTATGTTGTTGAATTCAACAATTTTCTGTGGAGCCGACAGCGCATGACTACGAGAGCCGAGTCGCGGCATCTTCGTTGGTGAAGGTATAGTTCTCCAGCCGAGCATCTCTCAATCAAGATGTTGGAGTTCTTAAGCTATCGAGACGCCTGCTATACTTTTAAGGTGTGAGGTTTCATTGCGCATAGAGTATGCAACATACTAAACTTGTAGGTAGGGCACCATAGTCACTTTGTTGACTTTGCCTTGCAAGAAGAATGAATAGCGATATGACTCCCTGTGTATGGAGTGTGTTATATGTTCCCGCCCGTTCCCACGGTGGATCAACAAACAAGAGCTTGCGTTGAACCTGTGACTGTCAGTAGAGCGTTAGGTTTGGAGCCTTCTGGAACTTTGGGGCCGCCTACTTTAGGGATGGTTAGCTCCCAGCGTGCTGCTGATGCAGGTTCTCACAAAGGTTTCTTTGCAAACTGGGGTTTCGTCGGGGATGGGCAATCAGGCCGTACATAACCAAAAATATCTATATAGTGTGTGTTTGTGTTCTATTCTAGGTCCCAGAACTTGGAGACCTACTCATCAACCGCAGCTTTGGCTCGTCTTCTCCGGGCAAAGAGAAGTTTTTCTTCCAAGTCCTGCAAATGAGATCCCAGCTTTTCTTGAAGCGATTCCATCTCAAGGTGTTATCAAAATGGCCAGGGCCGCCGAGTCTTGGAATTGATGTCATTTCGTAAGTTGGCGCGCCAGTGATGTCCACACTGGTGGGGCAGTAGTACCCAGCAGCCATCTCATCAAAGCCGGGGTTCGGTGGGCCCACAACCCTCTGTGACGGAAAAAGCAATGTCAGGCCGAGGCGCCTGCCATCTCGCTGCTGCGACTTAAACAGCTAGACGACGGATGGCCCGAGAGCATTTAAGTGCAGAGGTGCTCTGGTGTAAGGTATGCTTGCGCTGCGATGAAACAGTAAAGAGAAGAGAGTTGTAAGATGGTGAGAGAGAAAGTGAAAAGGATGATGAAAAACAATTGAAAAGAAAAGGATGTTCACAGGAGGAATCAAAACAAATAGTTCAGAACCCTTTTGAACGGTTGTGGGAAACCGCCAACCTAGCAGCAGAAGGGAAAAATAGTTCAGAACTGTTATGAACTGCCAGGGAAACTGCAAACTTAGCAGCAGAAATGCAAGAGCATTTTAGAACCGTTCTGACCGTTCATTGTAACACCAAGCATAGCAACAGAAAGCAAACATATTTTAGAACCGTTCTGAACCGTTCAAGGAAAACGGAAACATAGCAGCAAAACCGCCAGAAGATGCAAACAGCATTTCAGCCGTTCAAGGAATCTGCAAACTCAGAAGCAGGAAGGCAAACCCATTTTTGCACCGTTCTGAAACATTCATGCAGGAAACAGCCAACAGTAGAAAGGCAGAACCGTTCCGAGTCTCAGGGAAACAGCCAACTTAGCAGCAGAAAATTCAGGGAAACAGCCAACTTAGCAGCAGACAGCTCAGGGAAACAGCCAACGTAGCAGCAGACAGTTCAGGGAAACAGCCAACTTAGCAGCAGAAAGACCAGGGAAGCAGCAGCAGAAAGTTCAGGGAAACAGCAAACTTAGCAGCAGAAAGTTCAGGGAAACCGCCAACGTTTCATGAAACGTCAAGACCAAAAGCCAACGCGACAGCAGCAAAGTAGCGGCGCACACTTTTGCTGTGTGGTTGGCTTCCTATCATGGTCTTTTGATCTTTGATCTCAAGTCCATAGTCTGACTGGGATGGTACCCAAAAACCACCACCGATCCCGTCAGAAAACCATGTAGGAAGACAGACGCCGGGCGCCCCGGATTAAAGCCTGCCGGGTTAGGATGAGTTAGTAAGTTCATCCGCCCAAGTATTCAAGTCCCTTTTCACTTATCACGTGTGATGGGGCCAATTGGCAGCCCCCCTGGTGTAGCGAAAGGACAAGTTGCATCAAGATGGCCATGGTAGGCATCTTCCTGGTCGATTGGTTGAGCATAGTAAGGATGTTCCCCTGGTCATCGGAGATCAGAGGGATCCGGAACTGAAGTCGGTTGCGGACCCCCTTTTCCAGCAGAAGGGACGCCAGGAGAAGGGAGTCCAGCGTCTCCAGCGAGGGGATGTTGGCCCTGGGCCATCCCCCCACATAGCTGCCCTCATCTCCAGCGCTGACATCACTGGCCCCTCTCCAGCCAGTAGGGGCAGTAGGGGGTAGGTTGGATAAAGTGGGCGCTCAGCAGTGTCCAGATCAACTTCGCAAAGGTCCGGATAAGTCGATTTGGTCGGCCACTGGATTTGACCGCTCCCTTCCATTGCCATACAGGTTGGAGAAGGGGTTTTGCCAAGGGGCAAGTTGATGTTGCCCATTGGAATCACATCCCCCTCACAATTCGAAGGAGGATGCCGAAGACCTTGTTGTGTTTTCTTTATCCATTTGCACAATTGGCCCAGCCGGCTGAATCACCAACCCCAGCCAGGTGTTGATGGGCCCAAGGAGGGTCTTCTTCCAGCTCACAGGAGTGCCTAAGGCAAGCAGGTTGCCAGAAGGGCACAAGTGTAGTGTGGAGCCATGGTTGAGCGAAGGAGCCAGCGTGCAGAAGTCATCCACGAAGACAAATGCCCAGTCCACCATGGAACAAGTAGTACATGAGGCGCAAGAGCAGTGCGGCCATTCTGCCCCACTAGAGCTGTGCTGAGGCCATGCCATATAGGCGCCGACTTTGTTGACCCACCAGTCACCGTCGATCTGGGCTATCTGGTACCCCACTAATTTTCATGGCGAGGCCATTCGATGTAGCGACCCTTTCCTGGCCTATAGCATCTGCGCCCAGAGGGAGGAGTCTGGTGGGGGCGGAGTCAGTGAGCGCATGGACACAGTCCATGACTGTGCGAGCACGGACGAGTTCCCCTTCCACTCCGATCCAAAACATCACTCGCAGAACGAGGCAAGGAAGTTTTGGTCCTCTGCGAACCCTATGTGGCCGTCGTGCTGCTGCACTCCATAATCCCATCCTTCCCTTGAGACTGTTTGAGGCCGTACGCCGCGCCCTGGTTGCTTTGCATCAGACATCAAGGCCACCTTTGAAGAAAAGAAACTGATGGGCATGGTCGGCGGCCCATTTACCGGAGGCAGCCCATTGCACAGTAGACGAACAGAGCCCAGGCCCCATAGGCTCCCCCCCAACGTCCCTCAACGGTCGGGTGCGAAACTCCCAATGGGGACCGTGACTTGTGGGTCCAAAAGGGCAAGTTCCACAGTGGCCTGTCTGCGCACTCTTCGATGCGGGGTGTCTGGCATTTGGTGGGGGAGGCGAGGCCGTAGGCCCTCGTCGGGGCTTCTTCGGTGTTGGGGATGCCTCATCCGAGGGCCTGTGCTTCTTTTCCGGAGCCCGCAGGCGGCTGGGAAGTGACGTGCCCTCCACATAGTCGTAAATGGCTTGGGTCAACCCCTCCATCATCGGCCAGGGGCACTGGCTGAGGTCATATATATTCAGGGTGTTCCGATCCGCAGGGGGTTGGCGCTAAGCGTGGTAGCCCATCTGGATCTTCGGGGCGTTCCAAGAACGACCCGCAAGCTGCGTCGCCCAACCAGGCCAGGTCTGCGATGACCATCTGGCGGAAGAGGAGAAGGTGTCCGCCTTTTCCTTATTGGCGCTTTGGTTGTCTGGTTCGCACTGGGGGGGAGCTCCAGGCTTGGGGAACCAGCAGGATGCTCCAAGTCCGGCGCTTGGGTCCCTCCAATCGGTTGTGCAGGGCCGCCGCACGCAGGCTGTGAGGAGGTGGCTGCTTGGCTTTGACTTGCTGTTCCCCTTCCCCTTGCCCTTCTTTGGGTTTGGGTAGGGGCTGCTTTGGACCCGTTCGCGCACCTCCCGCATCCAAAGCAGGCTGAGCTCTCGAACCTTCCTCATTGCAGCCTTGAGGGAGGCGCCTTCACATAGACCAGCGGGCGGCACCAGACCATTTGCACCAATCACATCCAGATCAGCATCAAAGTGGGCATACTGCGGGAAAGCCTGCGTACGCATCACCAGGGTGTTCCGGAAGACCAGGTGCATCTGTTCCAGCTGGGAGCGGGTGGCTGGAGCCACACGTTCTTCATCTTCTTCTTCCTTCTCCCAGCCGTCAACCGTCGCTCGGCGGCGAGTCTTGACCGGGCGCTCATCGACCTCAGGAAGTGCACTGATGATGCGCCTGGAAGTGTCCAATCTCACCTTTGGCACAGGCCTTGAAGTACTTCTTCAAGTAACCGTCGCTCCCCTGAGCCGCCAGCTTGGGAGGAGGGAGCTTGGTGATCCGTTCCCAATCCACTTGCATCTGTTTACGGTCACACAAGGCATCAATGCCGGTGAGGCGGCCGGTAGGGAGGCCCCGGAGTCCGTGTGGCCTAAAATTTCACGGGCACGCCGCACACACTGTAGCATGCGCGTGGCAATGGCCTCCTTCTTGTCATCCGGGATGGCATCCGGTGGGCGAATGATCGCCATGGTGGCTCCTGGTCCAGCCCAACTTTCAGAGCCCACGGCGTCTGGTCAGGCCAGACCAGGGTGTGGAGGGTGGGGTTCAAAAAAAGGCCAGGCATTTTTGCTAATGAAATGTATTCATGAGACATAACCTGCTTTGCGCAGGCTGCAAGCACGTACTATAAGTAAGTAGCGGCGCACATTTTTGCTGTGTGGTTGGCTTCCTATCATGGTCTTTTGATCTTTGATCTCAAGTCCATAGTCTGACTGGGATGGTACCCAAAACCGCCACCAAATCCGAAGGTCGGGTACCTCCCAGTCGGTACCAATTCGTTCTGGATGGTCTTCCTCTTCTCCTTCAGTCGGTGGACGCTGTTGACATCCAAGAGGCCGAACTTGGTGGGCTTGAGGAGACGGGGGTGGACGAAAGGTAGCATGTCTGCTGCTGCTGCTGGTTGCTGCTGCTGGTTGCTGGTTGCTGCTGCTGCTTGCTGCTGCTGGTTGCTGCTGCTGCTGGTTGCTGGTTGCTGCTGGTTGCTGCTGGTTGCTGGCTGCTGGTTGCTGGCTGCTGGCTGCTGGCTGCTGGCTGCTGG